GTTTCGGAGGAGGAGAAGGGGGAGAAAGGTGCGCGCCCGCGCCTAGCGTCGGAGCCGTGCGGCGCCCCGGGGGAGGGGACGCTGCGCCGGCGCCCCGCGGAGCCGACTGGGTGCGTTTGGGGCCCTGTTGGGGTTGAACAGCGCCAGGCCCGTTTGATGGGCCTGATTCTTTCTCCTGGGCTCCGGGAAGACTAAGAGAAGAGTTTGCTTTTCTCCAAGGAGGCGTTTGTCAAGTAGCTGTGGGCTTTTGGAGGGATCTCTGTCAGTGCCACACGGTGGCAGACCTGCCCAAGGCGAGAAGGAACAGGTTCTGCTTCCCCAAATTGCACCTCATCTTCGTGTCCTTTCTTCGTAGTTTACCAGGTGTTTGAAAACGTGGCCCAGAAATACGACATAATGAACGACTCGATGAGTCTAGGCATTCACCGACTGTGGAAGGATGTTCTCCTGCATAAAATGAACCCTTCCCCAGGAACCCTGCTTCTTGATGTTGCTGGAGGGACAGGTAAATGCTTTTGCTGAGTTTCGCATGACCACGATGCTATGGTCATGTGGAGCAGCGCTTCTCAAATTATAAAACACATAGTATATATCTGCTAATAATAAATACTAATTTATTAGTATTGATTTAATTTTGAGCTTGTTTGACAAGTAAAGAAAGTGTTGTCTTTTAGTAGTTAAATAGGATACCTTTAGTTAGGAACACTATTTTGATCCATTGAACCTGCTCAGACTTCTTAGCAGGTTATTTAACACATTTGGCCTCAGTTCTTCTCTTTTTAAAGCAATTTTAAAAATCTCTGATTTTCACAGGAAAAAGTTGAGAGAAGGCTCTGAAGCTATTGTAGTACTAGCCCTAATACGCTATGGGCAAATTTATTTCTATTTGTAGGAAGTGGTAGACTGTTTACTTTTGATAGGATACCTTCAAGATATGTATTTTTAAGCCAAGCTTAATATTCAAAGCCCTAGATTCATGTTCCTTGGAGTCTTAATACTTACAATTTCAGAAAGCTTACCAAAATTTATATCTTTTCTTTAAAATTAATGCAGGTGACATTGCCTTTCGATTTATTAACTATGTTAATTCCGTGCGAGAGCGCCAGCTACGACGGAAGCTCAAGAACCATCAGAATTTATCGTGGCAAGAAATTGCTGACAGTTACCAGGAAGAGGCAGTTAAGCCTTTTGGGGATTCCCAAGTGGTGGTCTGCGACATTAACAAGGAAATGTTAAAAGTTGGGAGACAGAAAGCACAGCGTCTTGGCTACTCTGAAGGTAAGTTGTGCAGTGTTTCAGTAGCATCTCTGATGGAAGTAGCTGACATTTGATAGTCATTGGGTAATCACTTCAGCATTACAGTAAAAATGATGTAGCAGTGCCATATACCAAAGCTGTAAGCGTGCTTTTTGTCGAGGAAGGTAAAATTTTCCAATAAGCATGAGAGAAATATGCTGTTCTTGAGCCTTCAGGAATGCAGGCATGAAAGTGGATGTGAGGTCTGATGTCTGCTGTCCTTCCAAATGGGATAAATAGCCAAAACTTACTCTTTATGTCTGTACAAACTCACCTGACTTTAAGGCAGATAATAGATGAGAGCTTAGCCCTGGAATGATTAATCTGAAAGTGTTTTAATGGGTATGTTGAGGATGAAAGCAGTAAATTAGAAATGCAAGAACTAGTCTATTGTGAACCTGTAAGACTTTCCACAGTTAGAGAATGTGTTGTTAATACTCGGAGAAACTGAATTATATCAAATGTTAGTTTGCAGGTCAATGGATTAATTCAGTGATATCTAGAATTTGTTGGGGACCACGCCAATCCTGATTGAAAAGCCTGATTTTAAGAAGTAAGACATAGAGAAAGAAGTCCTGCTTGAGGCACAGTGTTTGTATGATAGTCATTTTTCTTCTTTTTTTTTGTTTATAGATATTTTGAAAATATTTGGGGATTATAAAGTATAGCGGGAGTTTGCTTGGGTCCCAGCATCAGGAATGCTCTGGGCAGCCTGTATCAGTCATAGGCACAAGACCTGTGTGTCCTTTCCCTGCACCCTGCTCCTACAGCCCAGCTGGGCTCCAGTTGCAGCCAGGGAATTGTCCAACATTTGCTGCCTGTTGCTCGTTCCTGGCACGAGGTGCATTTGGAAAAGGTGAATTCTTGCAAGTAAGGTCTCCAAGCAGCTATAAGTGATGTCCCTGCCTCTAGATACTGTGGGCTAAAGGACACACCATGCAGCTCAGTAGCACGGAGGGGCTGAGGGTTAGGCTGCTGGCACAGGTTCTTTCAGCTGCTCCTGCTTTCTGCTGCCAGGCCACCTCAGGCCATTTCCTGCTTCTCTCTCTGCTTTAGGCACAACAGTCTAGTTGGGAAGGCCCTGGTTTGCATTGTGCTCCTTGGAGCAGCTTGCAACCCTGCCCAGAGCTCTTGTGCACCATGATTTGGGAACATCTGAGATGTAACTTAGAATGTGAAATAAAGCTTGATACTATCTCCCAGCTATTTAGTTTTAAGCAAAGTAAAATAAAATTTATGTAATTTAATTGGCTTCACTTTTGGGATGTTTTTCTGATTTATACTTAGATTTGACAAGTCTTACGGGCTTTGCATACCCAAAAGAAACAGGCCTGTTGTCTGGTCACGGGCTGAGCATTCTTGCAGCAGGAACAGTGCCCCAGGCCACCTTTTGAGGCACTGACAGTCCCTTTAACTTAGCCACATACAGAACTGCTGGCCAGTGATACATACGGTGGTGTTCTGAGAGTCATATCTCCTATCACTCAAAGCCTTTCCTTGTTTCTCAGTTCTTATATGTCTTCTCAAGCTTTCTGGTGTAAAATAGTACTAATACCTTGCTGCTTTAATAATATCGTCTGCCTCTTTTCATGCATTACTGTCCTCAACTGTGAGCATATTTTTGTAAAAATGAAATTCTAATGTGTTCTGGCAACAACTGTGGTTTTCTGTTTTGTTTTGCTCTTCTTTGTTCCCCTTTACAACACTACCCTTTGAAATGCATTTTTTTAAGTTCATTTTGTTTTGCATTTCAGTCAACAAAGCAGTGATGCTAAGATCTGTTAATTCTAAAATGGGCAGTTCTTTTTTGGTACAACTCACCAAGACATCTGCGCTCTGTGAGAGCGCACAGCCCTGATCTCTTGGGGCTTGAGGAGCGACACAGCTGCACAGGATCGCATGGTGATAAATCCTAATGGAGGGGTTATGGCTCTTCATTTTAGTTAGTCAGCAGAAGTGATCTAGTGAAGTGTTCTACGTATTTTGACTGTCACTGCATAGTGAGATATTAACAAATCACTATAATTATTCTAGTTGCTCTCTGGGTAGAGAGTGTCTTTTTGGAACTTTATACCTTAAATACTTAAAAGGCAGCCAGTATCTGTTGCTCTCCACTACAGTGCAAAACTAAGCTGAAATCTCTTTCCTGCAGTCCAAGGCAGCATGAATACAACATGCCTACATCTGCAACAGAATATTTTGGCTGATGTGCAATTTTTTCTCTTTATTTAAAGGACAACTGTTATAATACAGAGTCTTAAAGGTTTGTGGGTAGAAACTAAGGTGTGTTCTCCACAGCCAAAAAGCAGGACTGCAGTATTAGTTTTATATTTCACTTATTAATAGTAATTCCATTTTGGAATAGAGAGATTCTAGCCTTTTTGAAGGATTTTGGGTTCTAAGAAGTCTTTTAGATAGCTTCATGTCCTTGTGTTTTTATTACAGGTTTGTCCTGGGTGGTTGGGAATGCTGAAGAGCTGCCCTTTGGTGATGAGAAGTTTGATGTTTACACAATTGCCTTTGGAATCCGAAATGTAACTCATATTGATTTGGTAAGCTGCTGTAGGGTATCCAGGGCATGAGGGTTTTACATTTCCCATGAGTTATTTATTTATTTATTATAAGTGAGGAAGCAAAGGAGAAACTCCTTTGCATAAGGGAATATCTTTTGTACTCCTGAAACATCTAAATAAGTATTATGTAGTCTGCAGCTTGCTTGAGTAAAAAATGCAATTAAATGCCCCACCTTTGCCATAATAAAAAAGAAGTTAGATTTACACTAGCTATGTCCAGTCTTTCCAGCTTGGCAAACTACATAATTTCCTCCCAAGGCAAAAGAACTGCATACTTCAGTTAGTATCTACCTCCTGCCAGATCAACACATGCTTTGTGCAGTCAGTCTGCAGGTCTCAAAGCTCCTGCTACCATTCAGCCCACTTCTGCTCAGTGCCTTTATGCTGGTTTGTAGAGGAGATTGCCATGAAGAATTCGTACAGTTTTAATTTGGATAGGTAGTACCTTTGTTCTACCCAGTAGCTGCCCTTCCAGAATGACTAGATGTCTTTCATGTTAGCTCACCAGTCTAGCTAGACTGGGTTGTATGTGTCCTGGAGGAGTGTCTTCCCACCTTGTCAGTGCTCTTTGGTTGAGGGTGCAGCGTTTGGACGGTCTGGGTCTGTGCATCTTTGAACTCCTGTTAATGTGGAGGGGATTCTGGGATGCTTTGCCTGTATTTGTCCTCAATATGAGCTCTTGTACCCCTGCATGGAAATCGGAGAGGGCAGCCTGGTAGCATGGCTCCCTGTGGGCCTCATGCAGAACACACCTTCAAGTCTCTGATCCTTTTCCAGAGTTCCAGCCACATATGTGCGTGCTTGGGTTTTACCCTTGGGAACATGACATTTGAAGCTAAACAGATGTACAGCTTGCAAAGATTCTTAAATATAGCTCTGCTGTCCTCTAAAGTAAAAAAAATATATAGTTGCAAATCCATTTTTTCTTGTCTTAGAATAGCCAAAGATGATTCTCCTTCTCCCTCCCCCTTATTTTGCACATTACACCTCCAAAACCCAGAGATATTCTTTCTATAATCTGCTTGTGTATCTTGTAGTCGAACAAAATCTTGCCTTTTGACTAAAATAGCGCATGTTGCTCTTGTTCTTCAGTTTCAGTTTCTTCTGAGTCACCTCCTTTTCAGGTTTGGTTTGTACTTAAAATAGGTGAGCTGGCAAACATTCATCAACTGGGAAAAGAGAGGAAAATTGTAACCCTGGCCTCATAACGTCAAAGCCTAATGTAAATGTATTTATGTAAATTTATGTAACAAAGTTGGACTGATGATGCTTCTCCACAAGTAAATATTGGAGACTGCCTCTGAAATTCTTGGTATTTTCTCTCCTCCCCTTAATTCATCACTGAGTTGCCTTCTTATGACGTGATTAATAGAAACAGATGCTGCTTTACAAGCTGAGTTCGAGTCTGCTTTGTCTCAGGCACTTCAGGAGGCTTATCGAGTGCTGAAACCAGGAGGGAGATTTCTCTGCCTCGAATTTAGTCAAGTCAACAACCCTCTCCTTTCCAGGTAGGAACATGATGACTCTGTGTCAAGTGACAAGACTGTGTTCACATGCACTGAACCAGGACAAGCTTCAAAATCACCTTAGTGTGCATTTTTAAATCAAATTCAGACTCCATAGCATTGTGGCACAGAGATCAACTTGTGCGCTGTAGATGTTTGTTTTTAAACTTGCTTGTATTAATACGTCCTCAATGTGTATCTGGGCAGGCTCTACGATCTATACAGTTTCCAGATTATTCCGGTTCTGGGTGAGGTTATTGCTGGTGACTGGAAGTCCTACCAGTATCTTGTGGAGAGCATCCGGCGTTTCCCCCCTCAGGTAAGACAGCACTTTTCTGGAATCACATATACACAAGACAGTCTACACACAATTTTGCAGGCAGCTGGCTTACAGTCCTTCCAAGCTGCTGTAATTCTGTTCTGAAACCTTTACTTTTCAGGAGGAGTTCAAGGCAATGATAGAAGATGCAGGGTTTTTAAAAGTGGATTATCAGAATTTGACATCAGGCATTGTTGCTATTCACTCAGGTTTCAAACTGTGAGCCTGCTTTTGAGCAAAGCACAGGAACTCTTATTTATTTATTTTTTCCTGAGGAGTCTAAAAGACGAGCAATTTTAGCTCCATCAAGATAGAAGAAGATATTGGGAGGACTTTTTTTTTGATTGAAGAAATGATTTTATTTAGCTCAGAACCTGGACTTTGGGCTGAAGAACTTAGGCAAAAGATTCTTGCTCAGCAATCACATTCAGAAGGGCAGCTGCTTTTTCATCCCACCTCTCTCCAGTCTGGGAATGAAGTGACTTCCATGGCCAGTTTCTTATACTGGCATTTCCCTTCACAAGTGGTACAAGAGACACTGCTAAAACTGAGCAAAGTTAATGAATGTAGGAACTTCACTTACCGGTTGTGGATACAAAAATATATTCCAAATAGTCTTCAAACAAGAATGCTTCCTTTTCTTTTACTGAACTTTTAAGGGGGGTTTCATAGCAGTGCAAAGTAACTTGGATTTATTAAATTTTTATTGATCTCAGTGTCTTTGTCATGCTGGCCTTAAGGGACTTTCGTGTTTCCTTTACTTCTTTCCTAGGGAAAGGGAAGATTCGTGAAATAAAACAGTTCTGAACTATTCTTTCCCCCTTAACTTAGTATTTTAACCCTTTGAACAGAAGGGAAGCTTTTCTGAAGAATGACAGCAAATTATATTTTGATGTGATATATGTTTTTCTCCTATAAAGGGGAGCTGTAACTCAGACAATGGTGGAGGTATATTCTCTACTTACATATACCATGCGTTTCTTTCTGTTCTTAAACTTGTTCAAGGCCTGATGTATCTGTCATAGGATACAAGGGTAGGCAAAATACCTTCAACTTCATCCCTTATCAAACGCTGAGACAAAAAGAAAACAAAGCTAGAATTTACACAGCTATCTAGGCTATAGTGCCCGTAAAAGGATGTTCTGAAAGTCTGGAGGAGAGGGAAAGATTATTTATTTATTTAGGGTAGTTGTTAATAATCCCATTCCTTAGAGATCTAAGAGCAGCTGCCTTCCAGTGCAAGTTCTGGAGTTCAGCTGCAGTGTACAGGAAGAGATGTGTACTGAAATGCTTTATCAATACTGGGAAAGCTGAGGGGAAAGTCTCCTGTTCTTACAGGTCCTGACTGAGCACTTACATATTTAGGTTGGGACTTGGATGCCATGAATTTGAGGGAGAGAAATGGAGGTATGTTCCTCCTACGTTTGCAAGCGAGAAGTGTGGTGAAAGCCCTAATAGGGCAGAAAAGTAGATGCTTATACAAAAAAAATTCTTAAAGACTGCATTGCTCCAACATTTTTATTAGCAAAGAAGCTCTTTTTTAAAAGAAAATAAATACAAGGAAGACCTTTTCACCTTTTTTTAAGCCACAATGAAAACGCCAACTGCTACAGAAAAAAATCCCTGACTCTTTAACAACACAACAAAAGACCTGAAGATCAAGGTCTGCTTCCTCAGGAAGGCTGAAGGTAGCAGGCTGGAATTAGTGTGCAGTCCAGATGCAAGCTGCAGTAACAGTCTGTGGTTCTAACCAGACTTAAAGAGAAGAATAGCGACTTGGCCGAGGTAGAAGTAGATGAAGTGCTTTGTCTCATGGGTCACGTAGCTTCCGAAGTTCCTCCCCACGATGCAGTGCCAAGTGGGGTTGTATTTCTTGTCAAACTCCTGCAGAAGACAGCAATTTAGTATTACTGCATGCAAGTGTTGCCTGAAGATTTTCTGGCTGATGTGACTGACGTCACTTAACAAGTTATCACTTTTTGAAAAGGACAATTAAGCCATATATGCTCTTAAGCACAAAGACTGGCTTACTCTACCTCACCTAATGCTTAAGTCAACAACAAAAGCAACAACAAAAAAGAAAAAATAACTCCTTACTGAAGTGCTCTGTAGCATAAAACCCTACCTATGATTAAGGAAGGTCACTTTTCTTCAAAAGTTAGAACATAATGAGCTCAAACTCTTAAAGTAAAAGCTTCAGAGCAGGTTCTAGCTTTGAAGAAGCCTTCCAAATAAAGCCTAAACAAATAAAGCCTTTACTTTGGCTTTACTAGCTGTGTGCAGCAAGCATGTTGAAAGCACTTCATGAAAAAATTTTCTGCCATATCCTTCAGAGCAGATAACAAGACCATGTTCTCCTGTCACCCTCAGGAGTCTGCTGCGAGTTTCACATAAACCCCTGTGTACAAGTTGTGTGAGCAGAGCCGAACCACTGGTTACATGTTGTAGTACAGAACAGCCCTCAAAGGAGGACCCTTGAACAGTAGCACTTGCAGCCTCTCGCACATGTTCTGCAGGGTCTCCCAGCCAAACCCGCCAAGTATCTGCAGCTCCCCAGAACTTCTCAGCCTCCACGCAGCAGCCAGACAGTCAAACAGGCTCCAGGCTGGGAGCCATCTGTTCTGCACCAGCACAGACAGGACTTGCAATGTGTGGGAAGAAACCTCCCCACACAGACTTATTTCTGTATCCCAGGAACTGCAGAGCAGCACCTCTCTAAAAGAGGCAATTATCGTTCAGTTATCCTTAAGACAGAATTCAAAACATTTAAGTCAAGAACTACACAGAAAAGGTCTTCTCTCAAGGAAAGCTGTGCCGTGTAATGGTATAGAGGAAGAGACTTAGAAGAAATAGAAGATAGAGAAGGGGCAAGTGGAAGAAAAGTGCATGTCAGAGATGTGGAAAGGAACATAAGAACCAGCCTGCAGGAAGACCAACTTGATTATCTAGCATCTCCAGAACTTGTTTCTCTAGAGCTATTTTCCCAGCAACATTTCCCCTGCTTGATTTCTTTTTTATTGACGAACAGAGGCATTTCATAGGGCGGGGGAAAGGGAAAGTTACAGCCACTTACCTTCTTTATGTGAGCTGCGATGTCCTTCTCGATGTTGTACTTCTCGAGGGCCTGCGTGGCGCACTCCACCGAGTCCTGCTGCATCTCCTCCGACATGTCCGCGTTCTTGATCACGGCCTTTCGGTCACTCATGGCTACCTGCGGGAGCAAAGAGGGGACCTCAGGATGCGGAGCCGCGCTGGACGCACCCACCCCTGCGCTCCTGCTGCGCGGCAGGGCTCGGGGCAGCCGCCCGGGACAAGCCCGCTCCAGCGCCGAACGGCCACCCAGGCCCCGCACTCCCTTGTCGGCCTCCCGCGCCGCAGCCCCCGGCCCGCGCCCCTCACCGTCCCCCAGGCGCTGCGCACTGAGAGCGCCGCTCCCGCTCCTGCCTACGAGCATCCCCGGGCCCGCCCCTCCTCCCTCCCCCCGCCAAGCGCTGGTGCCGTCACCATAGTGACGTGATGTGGCGGGCAGCGGCCTTGGGACATCATCCACGTCTGCAGCTCTCCCGGAGTTCCCACATGGTGCCTATGGACCTTATGGACCGGGATGCTCCATGGGATTATCAGTGCTCTGCTGGTTTCGCGCTCCCTGGGCCGCTTGCTGCTTCAGCTCTCAGTAACGGTTTAAAAATTGCCGTGGAGTTTTCCACAAGTCAGATCTGTGAGTAACAAAACTCTGCATCTTGTCTTACAGCAGGTAGTGCAGGGTGGCTTGGAAGAGGTTTTAAAGTATTGGTCGATGTGTGTGGAATTTCCCTGTGGAAATAAAAAGCCCAAGAGTAGTCATCCACTGCACTTTACATGCAAATATTTTTATATTAGTAACCTACTTACCTGCTCTGTCACTCATAGCGTAACTGCAGGCAGCCTTTGTCTTTTGCAAGCTCTGAGGCAACCTCTGAACAACATACTCCCCCTCAAAAAAAAAAAAAAAAAGGCATCACTGCAGACTATCTCTGAAACAGCTTCTGCCCTTATCTCCCAGGTTTTAGCATTACAAGTCAAAGAGATGCAACTCTCAGCTTTATCTTGTATCGCACCTGCAGTAGTGTGGGTTAGGGACAGCTTTGAAAGTTCTGACATTAAAGCAACTACCTAGTTTAACGCAGATGAATGAAAGGTCAGATGAAACTCTGTGTACAAGTAACTTGAAAAAGTTCTGTGACAGTCTTGGGGCCACAGTGAATTAGCAGGCATGGGTGTAATATCTGCACCAGAAGCAGAGATCGTGAGACAGTTTTGCGTTGACAAAAACGAGTCATTTAGCAATCTTCCCAGCACTCCCAATTAATCTTAGAAACAAGATTAATCTTTAATCTTGTCGTCGTTTAATCTTAGAAACAACGTGAATCTCCAAGGAGGTGGCTGTGTTTGATAGCTGCAGGCAAATCACAGTGCATTTATTAAAATCGGATTAGCTGAACGAACAGATTTTATGATGACTGCAAGAAATGTCAGTGTGGATGAGATACAAGGTTTTAAAGAGGAACATCAAAGCCTTACTCGTTGATCAAGAACATACGAGTATAATTCTCCTCAGGACAGAGCTGCGGGGAAGGGCAGAACAAATACAGGAGATGATAGCAGGGATAGAGGAGATGCTGGAGAGGATTAGATCCTTCCTAGGTGTATCATAAGATTCATAAGGGGACCATAAACCCTTTGCACCAGTGCTCGCCTTTTGTGCTGAGTGAATACTGTACAGCTATGTCTAATGCATCATTTTTTCATCATTTATTATTATTTATCAAAGATAAAATAATCTTTGTTGGTAATAAAACAACTTTTTTTTTTAATCCCCAAATGAAGATTTTATTTGTAAAGCTGACATCTATATATGCTAGGGCATCTAAGCAAATGTCACATGTAGCTGTGATACTGGGAACTGTCAGCAGGCAGAAGGGAAGCTATCCCTGCAGTCTCCAGGGTAACTGCACACACTTACGTAATCTCAGAATCTGACTTTTTTTTTAACAAATAACATCTTTTTTTCTTTTGTTAGAACTCCTAATCGCTGGGGGAAGATGAGCTATGTCACAAATACACATTATTTGCCTTGCTGTGGATAGGATCAATTTGCAAGTAGGGTTTTTTTCCCCTTGCTAAAATGAGCATGTATGGTTTTGAGCATGCACGAGGGTCACATTGTTGATTTTATGATGCAGTTCCTTAGCTATATCTGTTTGTTTGCCTGGGTTTCCAAGTCACAGACTAGCAGAGCACTGTAAAGATCACATTTTTCAAGTTGCTTGCTTGCATGTTAGATATACACCAAGGTGGCCTGGAGCCTCATGTAGAGCCCTGCCCCAAGCAGCCTATCTGGCCTTTCCCAAGATTTAGTTTGGGGTTTGCAGGTGTCTGAGTCAGCACTGTAATTCAGTGGCAAAGTTGCAGCAAAACCCTTCATTAAGGAAATGTGTGTTTTTAATTAATTTAGTGTGGCCCAACCTGTGGGGAAGAAGCGTTAAGGGGATGCCAGCAGCAGCAGCTTGCTCGTGCTCTGGCAACGTGGGATCATTTTTGAGCAAATTGCTGGCCTGACCATTGTTTACATAGTTCCCTGATGACACCCTGGGCTAGCAGCTCCCAAGGCAGTGCAGCGCAAAGTCAAATTCCTCTTGCTTTGTGGGTAAATATCACCACCGCTGTTCTCTCTGATGGTTAAAGAACAGATAGAAGCAAGGGGGGATTTCTCACACTGGGAATGCTCTGCTAGCGTGTTTGTCACAGGGTGTGCTTGCTGACTTGCAGTCTTCCCTCACTGTGCTTTATACATGAATCCTACGTGTCCATTAAGAAAGGCTTGTATATTTGTAAAAGTTTGTAAAATTTTGAAAAGTCTGAGATTTCAACAGTAATATTTTAACTTCACAGGTTTGGATTGGTGGGATTAAATACAGAGTCTGATTCAATACCCTTCAAAGAGGCCCTGTGTTGTAGACTCATCTCATTGGCAAATAACAGGAAAGGCAGCTGAAGCCCTTTTCACTCATCCCAGGTTTTCCATGAAACAAGTGGTGCAAAAGGGCTTACAAGGGAGCTTTTCAAAGCAGCTTGTGCACACAGAGCATTATGAGCAAGCCACTAATGGCTTGACCCAGCACTGTTACTACTGAAACTCTTCAAGCGTTTATTTTCAGTGCTTTTCAAATGAGGCTATTTCTAATGTACTTGGTGACCTTCTGAGATGTTAACCTCTAATTTGCATTACCTGCTGTTTGCAGAGATGTGGAAGAACAGTTATGGGAGAAACGGTTAGGATTATGGCCTTGCTTGGGACTTCCTCTGTCAGGCAGCTGGTGGGACTAGAAGGACGGCACATTTGACGCTGCTGAAGTTTATTATGCACAAGTATGGAAAGATGGGAGTATGTGCAGTGGCTGTATACAGAATGGCAGCGATGACCTTTCTTTATAAAGACATAGAACACATACAGTGTTCTGTAAAGTGGATGACATCAAGCTCCAAGCTCACGAGGTGAGTTTCTGCCCTGCAGGGCACAGCGTGTGCATGCCCTGTCATGGAGGAGCCCTGCTCGCAAGAGCCATAAAAGCAGAATCTCGGGAGTGGTAAATGGTAGTATCCCATTACATTAAGAGAAGGATCTATTCCCACATTTCTAAAGAAAATTCCATTGTGACTCTTGATTGCTTCCAGTGCATGAAGTTATTATTAGAATAAATAATTTTGATTTTTCAAATATATGTTTGGAGGGGGCATGGACCAGGAAGAAAACTCTATTTGTCACAGAGGTTTACTGTGCTTTTTATAGCCTGGAAGCAGGAGGTCTGGACAGCTCCTGCTGTGGCTTGTGTATTCTCTTTCCAGCAGGTCTCTGGTTTCTCTAAATGGATCTTGGCTCCCTCCTTGTGCCTCCAGCTGATGGAGATTCCGTGACCCAACTTCAGGATTGTCAGCCAGGATGAGACAGTGACTGTTGCATTGTGTACTGTAGTGGTGCTTCCCATTTTCCCAACACGGAACCTCTTCCTGTGGTGCTCTCTCCGCTTCTGAGCTGGTAAGCCATGCGATTTGTTCCTTTTTTGTTCTGTGTTTTTCTTGGAGTTGTGCTGCTGCTTTGCATCCATTTTCTTACTGTGGTTGAGCTTTCCCTATCAAACATCCTGCCTGGGAGCTGATTGCTGAGGATGCCTGCTTGGGAGTTTCCTTACAGAACTGGAGCTACCACTGGCATGTAATGGTTGCTGAGAGTTTGGCCTCTCCTTAGTATCATGGATGGTTCTAGTTTTTTGTAGATACTTTTCATCAGCGGTTAAAGGCCTAATGGGTAGATTCCAGCCCTTAGACCTCTGGCTAGGCTGACATCATTTCCATTTTTGTTAGAGCAGTATCAAAAGAAAGTTCCCATTTTCCTATCTGGTAGTTGCTCAGGTAGGTGATTGCTGACAAGATACTTCTCAGTATTACTTGGCAAATGTTTTGTAAAGTCCCTCTCTGTAGACATTTACGACCAGAATGTGAACAGAGCAACTGCCAACTTTATAGCAATCTCAGGCTGGATATTTATGCCCTAGGCATAGGTTGGTCATTCCTCATTTGTGCTGGCAGAGAGCTGCTGGTAAGGATATAATGCAAATATTTGGGTTTTATTCTTTGTTTGTCAAGAAAACAAAAGAGTGTTTGGAGTTTTATTTTAATCGTCACGCTTAACGTTTTATTTAAAAGATTTTAAGCCATTCAGCATGTTAAAGATTAACATGGACACACTTTAATAAATAAAAGCCCAAAGGATACCTGCCTAGATTTCATGCTGCCTTTCAGCTTCATAAACACTGAACATATTTCGATAGCAAGATATTTTGCAGAAGGAAGGCACAAAATTTACTGGTCCAAGTGGTGTTCTTTTGATCAAAATATTCACCATGGTATTTCAGTTATGGCTGCATAAACCTTTATTTTCCAAAATAAAATATTGAAAATGACATTTTGGCTCTTGGCTTTCATTAAGATTGCTGCTCAAAAGTCTCTCTCTCTTCTAACTTTGGTAAAGGGATGTTACCTGATAGGAAACAAGAAAAAATAACCGTGTGAGACCAGCTGTAAGTTACCTTCTGGGCAGTACAGCCTAACAGTTTGTAACTTGCATGCCCTCAGCAAGTAAGCTTTGTGTGACTTCTGTAAATTATCTTTTTGAATAGGTCAACCTGTTTGCTATCTTTAGACTAAGAAAAACTTCTGTTTTCCTTTTGGACAAATAGAATTAAGTCTATCTTCACAGACAGCCACAGGTATTATTTTCTTATTTTAATACATCCTTATTACTGCCAAATATTTCTGAGAATGAACTCAACCTGAGCAATGTATCCTGCCATAGTTAATTCAAGCAAAATTAAGAGTTTTTTTGTAATAAACAAAGCAGTACCTGGTGGGGCTACAAAATATTCCTCTATTTTCTCTCTGGCATTTTTCAGCAGCTCTTTTGTGCAGTTGCCTTCGGTAACATCATCTTCTCTAAGATACAGACACCTGAAGAACAGAGAGTAGTGGCCTTTCTTTAAACTATGCCTACAGAGCATAGAGATGTAAAGGCTGGCATGGAGGTTGCACGCAAGCAATATGGATTTGTTTTTTACATCTCAGCTACCATCTCATGTTTCTATTCAATAAGCTCCTGACATGTTAAGAAGTTCTTGAGGCCCACTGGCAAATGAGAAATCAGTTCCAGCCCTGTTCCTGTTTAAAGCTTAGTCTGTCGAGCCTTGAAGGCACCTAAACAGTCACTACAACTACACTGAAACCTTAAAAAACGCCCTAAGCCCCTCGACTTGGTGGTAGCTTTAACTTGGAGCTGCTCACACCAAGACGAGGGTGTCTGAAGACTATGCGTGTAGGATTGCTGGCAGCACAGCTTGATGACAAGCAGAGCTAACCAAGCCCTGTGCAACGTGTGGAGGGTCCCCAAAGTTGTTTCCAGCGCCAAGCTAGCAGTAGGGCAAGTACTTGGAGTGCCACTGACAAGTTTGGGCAATAGTGTGTGCAGCTCCTTTGCGATGAATGGTCCCATTCCGTATGCTATGGAATCGGAGTGCATCCTTGCCACGCTAACACAGTAAGCTTGCGAGCGCTAGTCTGATGTCTTTCTTCCATGTGTTGCCTCAGTGAAGCCCGTCTATAAGCAAAGGGGACAAATGTTTCTGGAAGTCAGTTTTTTGAAGCAAATGGTTACACGTAGGCCAGTGCCAGTGGTTCCTTACCTGTCCTCGAGCACGGAGTCCATGGGTTCTACTCCCTCCGTGTCCACCTCGTGCAGCCGCTCGGCGAAACGCACGGCCTCCCGCAGCCGCTGCACGCCCTCCGCATCGCGGAAGTCAACCAGCGCCAGGCGCTCCAGGTGTTCCAGCACGGCTGCCGGGACCTGCTCCTGCGGGAGGGACACGCACCTTGCAGGGATGCTGCGGGGACGTGGGGGTGGGAAATGGACCAAGATGAGCACGGGCTGGGACCGTCACAAAGTCCTCGGCCGTGCAACGGGCTTCTACATCTGCCTTTGCTGTGTTAGAGGGTGAATTTTTATCATTTATTTAGGAAATAAGCAGGTCTGGCTTTCGTTTATTGCTTCCTGGAGGGGAAACCGATTCCCATGGGACCCGTCCTTCCTCT